TTGTTGGCTCCTTTGTCAAAGATGAGGTGGCTGAGTATGTCTGGAGTTGTTTCTGCATCTTCTAATCTATTCCACTGATCCTCAGGTGTGTTCTTTTGCCAGTACCATGCTGTTTTTTCACAGTAGCTTCGAACTACCTTTCTTGTAGCTTATACCGGTTCCCATTCCATTGAATGAAGCAGCCAAATATTTGTTTTATTGTTCTGCCCATCACCAGTACCACATTGTTTAAGTAGGACAAGGCCACATGACTCTATCTTCAAATTTCCCTTAAATGCTTTCTTATATTTTATTCTTTTAGTCCAGAATCACTTTGTCTCAACTACTAACCCCACACTCCACTGGGATTTTATTGGAATGGCAATGAAGTTTTCACTTTAAAGCATCGTTCTACATAAAGAATACCATTATGTACTCTAAAACGAATTCATCATGAATAGTTTTTGCCAAGAAAACCAATACTATTTAGTATGGAAGACTATTTTTTAGAAGAAAGCCACAAAAATGGCTGTTCTGAAAAATAAATTCCATGATACAGTTCTACTATAATAAACAAGTATGTGCAGACTATATATTTCAAAATATGAAATTATAGAAAGGAGATGCTAATTCAAGAAAAAATAATGGTTTGGAATAAGTGCACATATCTAAATACCTCATATTTTCTTAGACAAAAGGTAAGAAAACTAGGAAAAGGAGAAATTGCTCTTAATAATAAGAATTTAATTAAGGTGCTAAGGACTGATGAAAGTATAAGGACAAGAAAGTTAATTATGTAATATTTGGTCCAAACTTGAAATACATCAAAAATGATTCAGGGTTTAATACTACACTGAGCTAGGAGTACCCAGAAAATACAGATTTTCAAACAAACAAATTATCCATTGGATAGGTACTATCAAGAGAAAACTACAGAAAGTAAGTTGGACAAAGGGAAGTTGATTCTTGTAGTCTGAAACTCTATCTAAAAAGAGTCATGGTTTTCTTTGAAAATTTGATAAAAGCTATCAATCATTTTTTTAAAAAATGCATATATATATATGCACAGTATTGCGCTTATATTCTAATGGGGCTCCAGGTCTTCAGGCTAGGAATATCTGCCTTCTCTAAAAGAAACACAAGATAATGGAAACTTTAGATAAAAACACATTTTGAAAATGATAGTGAAGACCTTCAGCCTTCAGTTTTTAAATGGAGGGGGGAGAAATCTGACAAATATGAAATCTGGCCTGCTGCTGACATCTGCCTTTATTAACTACTCCAGTGAACCTGTTCTCCTTAGAGGTATCAATAGCATCTTTATTAATGGAAGAAAATCAATGGGATATTGTTCAGTTGTAAACGGAATGAAGTTCTGATGCATGGCACAACACAGATAAACCTTGAAAAGACACTGAATGAAATAAGCCAGACACAAAAGGCCAAATATTATATGATCCCACTAATATAAAATGTTTAGAATAAACAAATTCATAGAGAAATACAGTAGGTTAGAGGTTGGCAGGGGTAGGGATGGGGGAACAGAGTTATTCCTCAGTAAATACAAGATTTTTTCGGGGGGGATGTCAAAATGTTGGAAATGGACATTTGTTCTGTATTGTGAATGTAATTCAGGTGCACAAAATGAATTTCCATATAAAATGGTTACGTTGGCAAATTTTAAGATACACACCACACACACCGAAATAAAGGTAAAGGTTAGAGTTTCTACAGGCACAGGAAGAGAACACCAAATGGAGGCATTAGTAATGCCCGGCCTTGTGTGATGGTGAACTCAGCTATGGACCTGAAGTCAGAAGATCAAGATGTAGGTCTCAACATCTCTCACTTTTGGCTCCATAGAGCTGCTTTCCATGCAGCCACCAGGAAAAAAACAGGCAAAGTAAGTACTCATCCAAACACCATTAGGAAAAAAGAAATAAAAGTAACTAGAAGATACTGGGAAAGTGAGTATTAAAGATGAAAGCTAAAATTAATTATGGAACAAAAATATCAGCAAACAGGATAAAAGTAAAAAAGCTTGTCTTTTGAAAATATCTATAGAGTATAAATAGGACAAGCAGGTGTGGCAGCAGATCTGAAAAAAAGACACCCACCTCCTCAATTGGTGCCGAGGATTTAGTCTAAGGTCTTGGGCGTGCTCAGCAGGTGCTCTACCACTGAGCTACATCCTGGTCCTATACATGATGATCAAAACTGACCAAAATGGAAGTGGAAAACTGGAAAAGATCAGTTTCAAAGAAGAGGTTGGAGAAATGATTTAAGATGTACAATGACAAAACCATCAGTGAATGTTGGGTAAACAATCACATACATCTATTCAAAAGCCTATGTTCGCTCAAAAAAAAAGTGTAAAAAAATTCCAGGGAACAATACAAATGGAACTGTAAACAGAAGTGTGTTGGAACCCAGACCAAAACTACAGACATGCAGTTGTAAATCTCAGTAACAAAGGGGTTGAGGACAGAGTGAATTCAGCGGCAGAAGATAAACCCACAGGGCCATGTAAGGTGAGGAGCTGAGCTGAGAACTCCACAACAAGCAAGGGCAGTGGAAATGAAAAGATGAATTAGGAAAGAGGCAGCTTGGAGAACCAGTGTTGTTTCAGCAAGGGCTCTGGGCACTCCTTTCCTATCCATTCTTAAGTCTTTCCTCGGGGGAACTATTATGCTGGGTTTTGTGTTTGTGTTGGCTCAGAGTTCTGCTTTAATAAAAAATAGTATTCTGAAGTAGTTGGTGACTTGAGTTCTTCACCCAATATTGTTTATAAGAAGAAAAATTAAGCACTATGTTTCCTGAACACCACATGGAACAACAGACACAATCTTTAGTTAATAATAAAGAGAGAAACAAAGTATTGAAACCATTTGGATATTGTAATATGCCTTAAAACCAGGGCTCTTTTTTTGAAATAAAGGGAAAAACACAAAACATCAATAAACTTCCCTCCCAAATTTCTTAAACAACTCCCGCCCACATCCCAACTGCGCATTCTTAACTTCTTCAGCCTGTGCGCCGGGCCGGACCGGACGGACTGGACGGACCGACTTGGACCCCAGGGCGGCTGGCCCAGTTTTCTCCTTCGCTCCCTTCTCCCCTCAGCCTTGCCCTCAGCTTGAAAGCCTGGGGAGGCCCAGGGTGGCAGCCGGGACAGACAGGACTCCTCCTCCGGGGAAGGGCGCAGCGGGGTGCGGGGGGGGGGTGTAAGGCAGGGCCCCCCATGGTGGAGGAGTTCGAATGGAGCCCGGGTGCCAGGGGAAAGCACACGGGTTGCCACGGGAGAGGGGCCTGGCTACTCCCGCATCCTCCTGCTGGGAGGCGCGGTGGGTCGGGACACCGCACACCGCACACCGCACACCGCACGCCGCACGCCTGGCTCCGAAGACAGCACCACATCCGGTCCAGCTCCTTCCGCAGCCGGAGGTGCCCGGCGATGCAGCTGATCTGCCGGGGCGTGGGATTCGGACACTGCACCAAGAGCCTCTCCAGGTCGTTTTGGAGTCTCCTCTCCCGGTGAGCCTGTCTCCGCTTCCAGCTCTGCTGCAGAATCATCTCCATCTTCCCCAGGCCTCGGTGGTTCTTGGCGTTCGCCTCCGCCAGCCACATCTTCAGCAGCGGCCCGACCTTCCCCATCTTGGCGAGGCTGGGCTGCTGAGACTCGAAGCGGCAGATGGTCATCTGGCTAAGCACCTCCCCGAACACAGCACCCACGGCGACGCCCACATCGCTCTGCGAGTAGCCCAGGGTCAGCCTCTTCTGGCGCAGCTCCTTGGCCAGCTGCTCCATCTCCCTCTCCAAGGCCGAGACGTCCTCGGGCAGCGCCAACTTCCGAGAGTTCAGTACCGCAATGTAGGGTTCCCGGCCAGGGGGCTGGAAGGGGCTTGGTAACCAGGCCCCTGCCTCCTCAGCTTTGCAGGGAGCCGCCCCGCCTGGGAATTCATAAGGTGGGGGACCCAGGGGGAACCCCCACACCTCGGGGCCTCGGCAGATCCTTGCCCCAACCCCTGGCCAGACCATCAGTCTGCCAGGGGGTCCCTGGCCGCTCACCCAGCTCGGAACGTCAACCCAGAGGGGCATCGGCCGGAGGGACCCACCCGTACCACTCTCTGGAGGGGGGCAGAAGTTTGGGGGCCTGTGTCCGGCCATGGGTAGGGTGCCAACCCCCAGTAAGAGTCTGGTTAGGAACCGATGGCTCTCGAGGCTTTGGAACCACCACCAGCCTGGCCCTGGAGCCCCGCCCTGCAGTGGGCGCAGATGACATCGGTCGCAGGAGAAACCGAGGGCAAGGGGCTGTTCGCTTGGCAGCAGGGCAACCTTCACACACCCACTCACTGGCTCCTCAGGGTGAAGGGAGTTGCTCTCAGCTTCCACCAAGGTGCTGGGCTCCCTTAGTCCCTTCCTCTACCATGTCCCTGAATGGGCCCGGGTATTTATCCACTGTTCAGAAACTCTGGCACCTCATCCTTTCCTTCACATCCTGTGAACGACCCCTGCGGGCTTCACAAATACTTAGGAAAACATCTACGGGCCAGTTATTGCTGGGACTCCCCCTCAGTTCACTGACTACTCTCTGTTATCCTCATGGCCTCAAGTCCTGCCAGCAGCCCTCCTTTGCAGAGCCTCCGTTCCCGTGCCCTTAGAAACCCAGACTACCGTGCTGGACTTTGTAGTTAACATAGGTTTACCGCCTTATATTCTACCCCCACCCCCACGTCTGCTGCATTCCACTCCTACACTGGGGTGGACTTTCTTCAGTAATTCCACGTTTCTCCCACCAGTCCTACCTTAGCTTCCTGGTCCAGAGTTCCCTCATCTAACAGAGACATCCACTGAGGATGCTCCCTGCAATCGAGACTCATCAGCATTAGGCTCCTGTGCTCATGGACTCCCTGTCCCATTAGAGACCCAAGCATCTTAATTTGCCAACACCAGTCATGCTCCATCCCCAGGAATTCAGTCTGAGGCCCAGCCTGGAGAAAGCTAAGAAGGGAGGGGAAAGAAAAGACCTGACCTAAGGCTCAAAGCTTCCAAGAAAGAAGAGGACAGTGACTTTGGACAATCTCAACCTCTTACCCTTCTCTCTCTAACCCAGCCATGCTATACCTCTGCCCACACCCCCAGCTACTAAAATCAGTCTTCTGGAAGTCATGGATGACCTTCAGACTGTCAAATCCAACAGTGTCTTAAAAACCCTCATCTTACTAAACTTCCCTGCAGTATCCAACAATGCTGAATATTCTTTTAGCTCTTTCTCCTTTAAAAATTTATGTGGAATGCTAGTAATAGCCAAATCTGCATTTCAGCCATGACTTCTCTTTTGATTTTTACTGCTTCAACTAAAATTCATTTCCCATGTTTATAAAACTGCCTTCCCTCTAGGGACCTCTGAGCTGATCAGTGGCATTATCACCCACTTGGTCCCCCAAACTTAAACTCAGGAGTTGTTCTTGACTTTTCCCATAATCCACAAGGCATCTAGTCTTATGTAGATACTGGTTCTCCTAAACCATCTGAACTCTACCACCTCTGCCCTAGCTAGGCTCTCATCTGGCTGATGTAATATAACCCACGTGATTTCTTTTCTAAATTATCACAATAACTTTATAGTTGGCTTTCTGTGCTTCTCCTTTACATTCAAGTTGCACACTGCTGCTAGAGAGGATTTTCCAAGAACCACAGGAAACCTAGCCAAACCCAACTGTGTTAGTTACTTTTTTCTCTTGTTGCAGAGACAAAATCCCTGACACCCAAAGTTAGAAGGGAAGGGGTTTATTTGGCTTACCGTTCATAGAGGTTTCAGTCCATAATTGGCTAGCTCTGAGGCTGGGGTGGCAAATAAGCATTGCAGAGGTGCAGGGGAGAAACAACATGGCGTACACAAGGCAGCAAAGGTAACAAGAGGGTTTAACATCTTTCTGCCCCTTTTATCTTATTGAGACTACCAGGATTAGGGCAGTGCCAAACTAACCACTCACATGTAGTGGTTTAGTAATCTCACGCCCTTAGCCCCAGCATCACACATTCCAGATGCAACTGCCTCTGAAAAAGAAAAGCCCACCTCATCTGCATGAGGCTTTGGGGAGACATCTAAACACAAATCATAACACCAACCAAACCTGACAATCATTTTCCTCTTAAAGCATCTTCAAAATCCAGTTCCTCTCCCTTTGACATTCAGAATGCTGCTCAAATATTCTCTTACTAGAGAGGACATTCCTGACCACTCTATTTAAATAGCATTCCATGACACTCTCTGTTCCCTTTCTTAGTTTGCTTTATTTTTTGGTATTATACTCATCTCTTTTTTTTTGGCACTGGGGATCGAACTTGGGACCTTGCACTTTTGAGGCAGCCGGGAGAACCACCAAGCTAAATCCTCAGCCCTCTCACCTCTACCTTACATATATTTATTTGTCTATCTGTTTATTCCATTTTACTACTGCAAGAGGGCAAGGACTTTGTCTAGCTCCCGGCTGTGACTACAGTGCCTAGGACACAGAAGGTGCTCAGTAAATACGCATTGAATGAATGAAACCTGTCGTACTTCCTACCACCTTTAAAACTCAGTTGAGATGTCACCTTATGTGAGTTAGTAATAAACATCCTATGCAGACAAGTTTGTTACTGCTTTATGGTGCTTCCCTTGTACTTCATGTATGCTTTTTATTATAACATTACTAGTAATAATATTACTAGTAATGGATATCATAATTATTTGTTTTATATCTTTGTCTCTCCAACTAGAGTGGGAGGCATGCATGAAGGAGTTATGAAGCCTGGAACATAATAGAACCCTGGATGATACAGTGCTCAACCACTGCTTTCTGAATAAATGAGGGAATCTTTACCTTTACAATTCTGAGAAGAAAACTCACTTAATTTCAGTTTAACAATGAGAAACTTGACCTTCCCAGGCCCCATTTTTCTCTCCTGTTAGAACAAGGCCCTTATAGACCACTTCCTAGAGGGCAGCTTGAGACATCACACTCAACACTACAAGTACTGAGGTTGCAGATATGGCCTTAAAGTAATGGTGACGAGAGAAGAAGAACCAAAAAACCAATCTCTCCGGGCTGTGTCTGTGATCTGTGTGTCGTCTGCACCTCCCTACAATCCCTGCTAGAGTGTGTACTCACGAAGGCCAGGTCTGTATTCCTCTTGTTCACCACTAGATCTGCAGACCCAGAGCTATCTAGTGGACATGCAGTGGAAAGTCAAGAAATATTTGTTGTTAAATGAATGACCCTCTATACCATTAATGATGAAAAGTCTTGTATTGTCCTGGAATTATATTTCAAGGTGCTAGACTATGAAAAAAAAGTTTACCTTGTACACAATTCCACATAAGAATAATTTTACCATTATTTATTCTTTCCACATACATCAACATGCTGTTTTTGTCAAAATCACAAAGCAATCAGTGTCTGCTGAACAGAATGGAAGGTGGATCACAGAGAAGGGTAAAAGAGAAAATATATACCAGTGGTGGCGAACTTATGGCATGTATGCTGCAGTGAGCTATTTGTATTACTGAAAGCTCTAAAAACTTTGCCAACCCTGGTATACATTAAGTGTTACATAGTGAAAACAGCCCATTTGCATGAGAACCACCAGAGAAAAGGTTCATCAGTTGCTTAAAGCCAAGCAAAATAAAAATATTTTTAGTGAATTGGAAAAATGAGTTCAAATGAATTTGAGCTAAGCTTTATCATATTAATAAGTTAAAACATAGTAGCTGAAAACAGTGACTGAATGAAAAAGTAAGGCTGTATTAACTTGATCTTGGATGTTCTCAAGGCTTTCTTTGTACCTGGCCAGATCTCATCTGTACTGTATGTCACTAGTTTATGCATATGGACTGCTACAGAGGAAATCCATATTCTTAAGAGAAGTCTTGATATCTCCTTAAAAGTATATTTAATGTGCCTTTAAGTGGACTGATCAGGGAAAAAAAGCAGAAGCACATGTGGTTGGAACAGAAACTGACATCAGGGAAAGGAAGCTGATGGGAATGCCCAAGACAAGCTGCGCTGCTTGGGCAGGGCACTTTGGAAGGCCAATCCATCACCTTCAACAATATGGAGATCTTTTAGTAAGTGATTAGATTACCACATAAGAATCAGGCTAGTCTCATCCATAGGGAATTAGAAAATAGGATAAGAAACTCACAGTCCCAGGCCCCTGTGTGTATATAATCTAAATGTGGGACAATCTAAATGGTCAGGCAAGCAGGACAGCTGTACTCACCCAAGAGAGGTTAAGAGTTTTCTATTATTAAGGTCTCTGGAATTAAGAGAGTTTTTCTGAAATAGTTAGTTTTGAGTAGAAATGCACAAAGTATGAGGATTTGGATTATTACCCTCTCCTTAAATATCCCTTATTCTCAGGAAGCAAAACCAACTGCCACGATCCACTTATGGTAAGAAGCAGGAAAGGGTGGAGGCAGAGTTAGTAACAAACATTTTTATAGGGTTTGGTTCCTCTCTTTGGAAATCTTGCCTATCCACTCCACTTGGGAGGGGAATCACTATTCTCCTCTCCTTGAACTTGCTCTATTTTCCATTCAGATATATTTGCTGCCTTAAACAGTTAGCTGGAGGTTCATATCTTAGTCTTCAAGCTAGGAGATGTAGAATCTCCCAAATAAATATTTATAGATATAATTTACTTTGTATTTATGTACCAAGTAAGGTATTACTTCATGGGAAAACCACAGTGCTCCAAAGATGGTAAGTTCATGCAAATATGTGGAAGTGAGGGTGATCTGCCTTTAATTTAGTGTCATCCTGTTGGTTACTGTGTGCCTAGGAATGTGACTACTGCTTCATTTCTTCAAATGCATCTTTCCCAAGGCTGGTCATGAGCTAGATGGAGAAGGACAGCACTTTGTTCAAGAGTATATGAGAACTCCCACTTCTTCAGTAGAGTCTCAAAACATACACAACAACAACAGCAGCAGCAACAATGACAAAACACATTTATTTGCAATTAAATCAACAGAGATGAGCAGGAGACCTAAGAATGAGGTCCAGGCGAGAGAGAAAAAGCAAGGCAGACTAGATGGTGGTTTTTACTGCGCGCCTCACTCTGCAGGTGTCCTATTAAGTGAGGACCGGCCAGGCAGCATGGCATGGTGTGAAGGCACAGTCCCTCAGAAGGGCAAGAACAAGACAATCTCTGGCAGCTGAGTATTTTAAGGAGCAACGCCTCCTATCTCATAGTGAGAGAGTTAATACCACACATTACAAGATAATGCACTGAAAACTACCTTAAATTACACTGAAATGATTAAATTCTTGATCCTTAGTGTGGATCTTTAAGGACTATAAGGCAAAAGGAGACATTAAAGATAAGTTATGCAGTTAAGAAAAACTAATAAAGTAAGACTACAAAAACATTAAGGTTGTTGTAACCCAGAGAAAGAGCTAATCGCATCAATGTAGTTACTAAATAGGGTGATTCACTGCTCCATGAAGTAATTATCAAAATAGGTAACAACAGCAGT